TTAAAAAAAAAAAAAAAAAAAAAAAAAGGAATTATCTGGAGATTAAATTTATAGCCTGTGGCTCCACACGGTCTCAATTTCTGCTTTGTTGCAGATAGAAATGAAAGGCAAGTGTTAGCTACTCAAAATCTCAGCTCTCCAACATAAAACAGAAGCAAAACCACTGCCCTCCATCACAGGAATTTTTCATTTGTTACTGAATGTAGGAATACTTAGGTACAATTACATCCTTCAGGATTGTTTCCTGGGAGAATAGCTTGAGCATAAAACCAGAAAAAAACACTACAGATGCTTTCTCTTAACATGTTTAGTGTCATGGACACCAAAAATTACCTTTATTTCAAGCCTAGAAGACCAAGACTCAGATGTTGATACTTAAGAGTACATGGGGCTCAGTCCACATAAATTAATTTCTCCTCCTGGCTGAATGTTGATATGAAAATATTTATTGGACCTTTGCCCAACACTTCTATTTTAAATATTTAATCTCCTTTCTCTTATTTAGGTTTACTTCATTCATTTCAGATGTATATTAATTAAATAACCCATCCTTCCCCACAGAAATGATTAGAAGTGGCCAACCAATGCATGTATTCACAATAAATGATTTTATGAATTAATATATTTCTCCAGGATCACTTACACTGCAAATATGCATATATATATAATATCAAATATATATATTCTCCCCCACCCAAAGAAAATACATCTGCAAAAAGGCAAGAGCAAAGGTCAAATAAGATTGTTCTAATTGTATTATGCCTCTTTAACACAGCACAGGGATCAGGTGCCTAAACACTCTCCTGTGCCTGTGTGCTGGCAGCACACAAGAGAACACCACAGATTATTTACTGATACATCTCTGAGAACTGCAGGAAGATAAGGAGATTAAACCCATCTCTTTCCAACAAAAAAGTTCTCTGCTGTCTGAACCCCCCCCCAAATATAATTGCAGGCTGTTCTCTTACGTCCTTCCACAGTGTCCTACAGCTCCAACACGCAGAGCAGGGCATTGACAAGGCAATCACACCGATTTGGGGAGCATTTATTCCAGCTCTGAAATCCTCAAAACTAATACCTGCTCTGGAAATTTGATTTTCTCCATAATAGTAGTATAGGTTGGATTGATAGAAGCAACTGTGTGTTAATAAACCAGATGGACTTGCAAATATCCAGCACCCAAAAACCAGCCCAGTGGACAAGTCGTGTGGATAAAACCCCTCACAGTGGTACTTCCAAGCAGTGAGGGGGATATAAAGCCTCAAATAGAGGTCTAAAGATGTCATATGTGAATAATCTATGAAGGACTGACTCAGCCCTCCTGACAATAACACATTCAAAGGCAGAAATATCCTCAAAATCACATTGGAGATTTTCAGGAAAGAGCTGAGGAGAAAAGATTGAGAACACTTGCATTCTTCCTTCCTCTTGTGAATGCATTATAGATGAATGTCAGCCTTCAGCAAATCAATCACAGCACCATTCACGGGGTTTAGATTGATATAAGAACACCTAAAAGTTATTTTTAAAGGGCAATGTGGAGTCAAGCTCTGCAGGTTATACCACGAGAAATAAAGGCACCAATGAAACGCCTGTGCCACAAGGGAGAACATTTCTGCTTGCTGAGGCTTCACCTCTCCTTTGGCAACAGGACAAAATAGATCAAAGAATATCTAAGTTTATATTAATCCTATTAGTTCATATGAAAGTGTCTTCACTGTTATCCATAGATCATTAACAATGCTGAGTTCATGGTCGTTACTTTTATAAACAACCACATTTAAATTATTTATCACGAGCACTGGGGAACATCAGAGTCGTCTTAATGCCGAAAGTGACTTTGGAGTCGGTGTGCCTGCATTTCAGATGAATGAAAAACACAATGAATCTTATTTTAAATATCCTACAGTCTTACTCTAAAAATGTTCCTGCAGACCATCCTCCATCCCTGTGCTACAGCAGAAGGAAATAACTCAAGAAAAAGTTACTTAACTATCTTATGTATAGATACTACCTTAGAGTCACACCCCTACCTCACTCCAACTCACCATTCCCACAGCAGAGAGTGCCCAGACATTGTCCTAAATCTCTGTTTGTCTTAATGCCTTCAGTACCTGAACACAGGATGGCATCACATCCTTGAGGGGCTCGAAGCCACTTAAGTTTGTATCAGACCTTTAAAGCACATTTTTTTTTTGATTAAAAATAGACATGACTGAAAAATACCCCACTTGTGAAAGAGAAACAAATCCTGTATAACCAAAAGGTAGAACAACTGACCAGACAAAAACAAAGGAGATGTATTTGAGCTCAGCTTGAATACAATAAAAAACACTGAACAGAATAAACCACCACCTCATTCTTGTGTAATTAAGAGTGTCCCAAGCAGTTCACAATATGTTGTTCCTGTAATGTGCTGGGTGCTGCTGACATTCCTTACTCTGAGGGAATGTTACCTGCTTCTGGATATGGTATTTTGAGAGAATCTCACGAATGGGAGCGTGCAGAACAGACTGGAAGAAAAGGGAATAAGTTGGGAAAAGGAAAGGTTGGAATAACTGGGTTTGTCAAGGCCAGGCTAGGGACAATCTGGATGGTTACACAGAGGAAGGCACTCCCACATTCTCAGGCTGCCATACTTAACAAAAAGCTAAAATTCCCCCCTCCCTTTACTACCCCTGCCCCTCCTGGTTTCCATACACACATCTGTAAGTCAGGGAAATGGACTCATAATAGGAAATAATTTTATCACTTAGGTGTGGCATGTAAATATTGCCCTCTCTGCAAACGTGTGTCTAATAGGCTGCCATGCAATTAAAGAAACCAGAGTGAAAATTTATAAAAAATCTCTACCAATTTTATATACAGATGCATTTGCTGGTAAAGGCATTATTCACTGAATGCAGTTAAAGTGCAGTAAATCGACTTTGAGAAAAATCACAAGACTTTCCAATAAAAAGACAAAATAGCAACACTGTTAAGACAGCAGGTGGTAAAACGAGATACAGGAATGTTCCCCCATATAAAGAAATAAAACAAAACAGAGCTGTGTGATTTTACTGCTCTTTTCCAGCAGAAAAACATCCCTAAAGGACTCAGAAAATAGGCTCCTAAATTTGCTCATATGGAGTACCAGAGATTGAAAGGGAAACTTTGAAATACATTACTCAGAAAAACTAGAGAATGGATGGTGCAAGTCTTAAAGAGGAGACTTTTTTCCTGAGCCTGTCAATGCAATTTGGGGGAAAGTTGTGACAGAGGCTGGACCACCAAGCAATGCAGGGTATTTCATTAAATCCAGCAGTTTACACCTGAGCCATTTGCTCCTGAATACATCCTTCAAAAGCACTAAGAACCTGTCAGTGAGGCACAGAAGCCCAGGTCACTTGGAAAGAAGGAATTAGAGGTTTTTAAAATCCCAGGCATGGAAAAAACTGAAAACTGAAGGTAAAAGCCTGAAGATCCCACAGGGAGTTAATGGATACCTGCTGGATACCACTGCAAAGCAGGACCCGCTGCTTTGCTAAGGGATTCCAGTTGCTGCTCTCAGCTGAGGAGCCTGGCAGGAGGAGTGGCAGGATGAGGGGAAGGATGAATGGTCAGCTGGCACTTCTGCCAGTGACAGACAAGGCAGTGCCAGCTCAGAAGGGAACTTTGTTCATCTGTGCTGGTGCTTTTCTCCATGCACAACTTCACCCCGATGGAAGAGAGCGACGAAGCACAGACCTCTAAGTCACGTTCCCACAGTCAGGGAGTGACCTGCAGGGGAGTGTCCCAGTTCAGCATCTCATCATTAAGAGCAGGGCCCAGCTCAGAGTCAGTCAGAAATGTTTTTTTCTATTCCACAGGTCCCTGGGCAGCTCCCTGCCCCCAGATGACCAGGGAAGTGACTGCACTCCTGTACTGGGCACTGGTGAGGCTGCACCTTGAGTGCTGTGTCCAGGTCTGGGCCCCTCACTGTGAGAAAGACATTGAGAGGCTGGAGTGAGTCCAGAGAAGGGAACGGAGCTGGGGAAGGGGCTGGAGCACCAGGAGCTGCTGAGGGAGCTGGAGGGGCTAAGCCTGGAGAAAGGGAGGCTCAGGGGAGACCTTCTCACTGTCTGCAACTCCCTGACAGGAGGGGGGAGCCGGGGGGGGTTGGGATCTGCTCCCAGGGAGCAAGAGACAGGACAAGAAGAAATGGCCTCAAGCTGCACCAGGGGAGGTTCAGGTTGGACATCAGGAAGAGTTTCTTCATGAAAAGGGTTGTCAAGCACAGGAACTGACTGCCCAGGGAGGATGTAGAGTCCCCATCCCTGAAGGTGCCCAAGGAACAACTGGATGGTTGGTACTCAGTGCTCTGGTCTAGTTTACAAAGCAGTAATTGGTCAAAGCTTTCCCAACTTAAATGACTCTGTGTTTGTGTAGTTCTTTAAATCCTCTGCTCTGTCAGCAGGACCTGCTTGCCTACATTAGCAAAGCCTCACTAAATCAGAACTCCTTCTTTCTGCACCAGATTCATTCCTTCATTGTACAACCAGCCCAGCAGCAACAGCTGGATTATGTATGTGAGAAGTGAGGTTGGACCCAGAAACTGCACAAATGCATCTGCAAGCATTAAAAACAGTTCAGGCACTCCTACAGTAGTTACCACCAGGCCTTGTTCACCATGGAAGAGAGGGCAGGATGAAGACCTGGAGCCTCCTCCACCTTCCCTCAGTACCCAGCTCCACGTCCTGCTGTGCTCCAGCGCTGCAGAGGCATCTGAAGTGCTGCTGAGAGGGTAATAACCCTGCACAGTGCCAGCAGCAATCCTTCCTGGAGGTTAACAGCAGGAGGCAAGGAGGTTGAGGCATTTATAAAAGCAGACTGTGAAAGGCAGAATCAACAGCTGAGTTGGCCTTTTAGTCAGCGCTGGCTTTCAGCAGCTCTATTATCAGAGGAGAATGAGAGAGGCGTGAGGGAAGCCTGGGGAGGAAGGAGAGGGGGGAAGTTGTGAAAAGAGAAGACAAAACACCCACCTGACAGGTGCTCCCCGGGACTGAGCAGGCTTCAGCATCACGGTGATGGTGGTGTCAGTCTCATTCAGGGGCGAGTCCGTGTCGTATTCCGGCATCGACGGTGCTGCAGCAGAGCAGAGACACCTCAGTTACACACCACTTACTTACTCATGCTAACATTTCTTGAAGACCATTTCACATTCTGCAATTGAAATATCAAAATACTCCCCAGTGTTGTGACCAGAGTTATATAAACTGCTTAAATATTTGTGCACTCTTTTTCTCTTCAAATTAAACAGGAATTGCCCTCCACCCCGGATCTTCAAGCTGGCTTTGAAAATCCTGCCCTGCCTTTTTAAGACTTAGTAATACTTTGAGGTGGGATCATTCCTGCCATTTTAAAGGTGAAGAAATAAAAATGCATGGACGTGATAAAAAAACACCCACTCAAGATGAGTGAATCAGTGGCAGAGCTAAGGAAAGCACCCAGGAATCCTGAATCTTTTCTGGTCAGTGCATTAACCTTCTCACATCTTAAGAGTCCTTAATACACAGACTTAAGCTGTGTCCCCTTGATTAGCTGGAGGGTGTGTTATGGAGCACAGAAGATGAAAAGAGAGGCAGTACAAATTAGCCAGGTTATTTTTGCACCCAAACCCATGATATTTTACCCCAGGGCTTTAGTGATGCTGACCCAACAGGCAGCTGCACAGACTCCAGCGCTGCCCTCGGGCAGTTCCCAGCCATGGCATCCCCATCCCCTCCCTGACATGTCTCCCAAAGCAATACAGAAACCCAAGGAATAATCACACCCCGCCAAACTTTAGTTTCTCCTTCTGCTTTGTTATCTTCTCTTAGGATCATTCCATGAAAGTAGAAGGTTCCCTTAGGAAGCATTTTACTTATTGCTTTTTCCTTCCCCTGACGTCTATTTGGGACAAATTTTACTGTGTAAGAACTAAAGAGATCACGAGGTCAGAGCAGCATCAAATTTGTTCCAAAGATGCAAGTTTGGTTCACATATCTTTAAAGTATAAAGCAAAGAGAAGAATCCACACAAATAGTTCACCTGTAACTCACAAGGGCAAACTGCACTGTGGGGGATCCCATATTTAATCCTCTCATAGTGATTTCCACTGTAATCCTGTTTACAATCGGGATTTTTATCTAAATGCCTGAAAACTGTCAAGAATGGGGCTGCTCCTATCAGCTCAGCTACTGACTTCCCTGTCAATAAGCCAGGGAAGAATGAATGCCAAGTCCTTCAGGAGGATTTCTCTGAAATAAGGTGCTCTGCATCAAGGGGAAGCAGTGAGGCATTTAAAGAAGACACATATCACCAGTGGTCTTCTATGCCAGAGATCACCATCAGCTGGAGATCACAGCCTGATTTGGGTTGGAAGGGAACACAAAGATCCTTTTGTTCCAACCCCCCCTGTCGTGGGCAGGGACACCTTCCACTATCCCATGGGTGTGTGGCACCTCAGGCAAACTACAGTTGCCAGAGGTGTCCCTAAAATAGCAAGCCCTGCTCAGCAGATGAATGCCTGTTTTCCTGCCCAAAGAAAAGTCCTGAGGGATCCTGCCACTCAGTTGGGATTGAGACATAAACAAATGTGTCCACCCATATAAACAGGTATGCTCACACATTGCTACAGCACAGGTGTCTTTTCATTTTAAAACACACACAGACTTACAAGGACATCCCAGTCAGTGCAAAAATCCTTCTTCTCCCTAATAGCCTTGAGACTGCCTTTTAGAGCAAGTTTAACAGTCATTTCCAAATTACTTGGAAAAGGCAAATGTCACAAACTTGACCATGCAATGAGATAACCCAGTGCCAGAGACTCTCCTAATGCTTGCACGGGGTTTGTACCCAGCTATTGTGAACCAGGTATTTCAAAGATGGGAGGGAGAAAAGACAATAACCCAAGTGTGCATACAGGTAGTAGTCATGCAGGCTTCCAACACAACTTGAGCACTCACGGAATAATAAAATTCAAAGACACAGAATCAGAGTAAAAAGCACTAACTACCACTGTTGAACTATTTTGCTTCTCTGGTCACAAAGGAATAGAGTGCACACTGTGCTGTCCCTTCACAGCAGGGCTGCACAAACCCCAACAGTCTGTGGAGCTCTTTGGACACTTAATGGCTTTACTTCAAGTAGTTTAGGGCTTTTGGACTAAATGTTAAGGGTTCAAACCCTGCTGATGGCCAGCAGAAGAAAGGAATGCATTTTACTTCCTCCAAGTTTACCCTGTCACTCACTGCTTGCAATTTGCTTTTATTAAGCAATTTTGTAAAAGGGCAGTGGAAAACACACACTGCTGTGCCCTCTTTCCTACAGCACCCAGCCCTAATTTCAAGCATTCCAAGTGTCCTGAATGTCTCAAATGTTTATTTTGGCTTTACTGAAAAAAACCAGTTAAGGTAGTTTAAAAAAAAATGTCAGCAAATCTTTCTGTTAGAAAAGCTATTTTAGTACTATCAACTAAATGTTAAAATTAAAATCTGCATATATCTGCCCAATATCACCTCTACCATCCCTTTTTTGATAACTAGCCTAAGTCTCCTCTTTGCTTTTTCACACGTTCTCTTTGCAATGCCTCCTTATTTTAGTGTCTTTCATATTCTTGTCTGCCTACCTCAAGCCCTCCCTCTGCTCCTACTCATAAAAACCCCAATGAAAACAGCTTCCCTCCTTTATTTTTAGTCTCTTTGCACTATTAATTCCATTACTTCATTACATCCATTTTGGTGCATTCTGAAAATAAAAACCACATTACTGAAGGAGCTTCCCCATCCAGGCAGATAATGCTGACAATAATTATTATAGAGGTAGTTCATTTGTACAACTAATGATGATTCTCACTTAAAACGCTCCACAAAGACATTCATGGCTATTTAAGATACCCACAAATTACCCACTGCATTTGTAACCAGATCAAACACAGGTTTAAAAATTTGCCCTATGAAATTGAGAGAGACACTGAGCTGAATGTTTTTTATTGTTTTACGCACCAGCTTTAGATTTAAAGAACAAAGCACTGGAAAGTGGTGATTTGGGGTTTTTTTGTTTTATTTCTCCAAAGCAGTACCTGAAATTTTAGTTGCAATCCGAGTGGTGATGGGTGGCCCAAAGCCCTTGACTGTGCTGGCTTTGATGGTGAAGGAATACGTGGTCCCTGGGTATAATCCTACAAACAGGTGGTGGGTCTCGTTCCTCAGCTTGAAGACCTTCCCCCTTTGGCTGGACAGGTCAGCACTGGGATCCAGGGACCCAACGGCCTTGTATGTAATCTGCAAATGAAGAACAAGGAAAGGAAGGTGATAAGGGGCCTGGTTTTGCTCCCCTGTTTGCCATCTCTTGGAATCAGAGAGTGAAAACACGAGGACGGGGATTATTTCAGTATCTCCGGTGAGCGGCTCTGTGTTTGTGTCCCAACACGGCGATTTTACTTAGGGAAAAACTAATCTTTTCTCTCCACTCAAACCTCAGCATGGGCTGATCGACAACAAAAGATGCAACGAATTGCTTTTTTGTTCCACATCTCAGAACTTCTGTAGTCAAATCAGAGCACACAGCACGACCGGCAGCATTACCATGAGAATTTCCCCCACAGCAGCTGAAAACCCCTGGTGCAAACATGGATACATTTTCCTTTGGAAAGTCACCTTTACATATTTTCTTTTGGCAAATCATCTTCTCATAAGGCAGCTGAAAACAATGGCAGCAACAAAGGCTTTGAAAGTCTTTCCCTGTGCTAAGGGACCACGCTGAAATGAAATTGTACATTTAAATGAAATAAGTATCACCATGTCTTTGGACAAAAGCCCTTCTCTTCTCCTCTGTAAGCCAGCCACTGATATCCTTTCCCTCCCCTCATTCTGAGCCTCAGAGTGCAGATTTATGTGTGGTTTACACCTGAGAGAATAAGCCAGGAGGGTTCTGGACCTGGAGAGGTGTCAGGAACACACCTTGAGAGGAACCCACACTGCAAGCACACCTTTGAAACCCTGCTCCAGCTCCACCATCTTACCCATGGAAACCCTCTGGATATACAGACACTTGCAAGCAAAACTCATGACTTATTTACCAGCCAATTCCTTGCCTGCCTTCCAAATTCAATCCAAAGGCAGCTCAGTTTCAATAGAGCTGTCAATATAATACACCGTGCTCCGCTGCTCTCCTAACCTTTCCTGATATTATGGGAGCCTCACTTATTTGTAATGAAACACTATGAATAAATCAATGTATGTTAATACATGAAGTCTTCAATTTTTTATGAAGGTCTCCACGAGAATCTAATTCCCAGCTTTGCTTGAAAGAGCCTTTGAAAATTTTTAAGTCGCTTGTCTTGTGACAGGAGGGAAATGTTGCATTTTCAGGAAAAATAAATACCCAATGTTTAAAAAAGGGAGGCTTTAATAACAACAGGATAAATAAGAGACTGATGTTACTGATACCAGAGAAAGGTGAGAGCATGTGAATCCTATTATTTGGAAAAAGAATAAAATTCAGACAGAGCTGACAGCCAAGATGAGGCAGCATAACAGAGAAGGGACATGAATTACACCAGCAACAAGAAATTACAAAAGCAGAACTCTTAAAGGAATTATAATTAGACAGCTTGCAGGTGATTTCATTGAAAACCAGCTAATTTTTTCCAGGGATTACAACGTGGTTTTAAATTTTTATTACTTGCCAGATACCTAAGAAAGAGAGAAATTTTGGCATGAGGGCCCTTAAAACAAAAAATTCAATGCAGGAGGAGAAATCTCTACCCCCACTCCTTTTCCTTCAGTGAGCCAAGAACCATGGAAGGCAGCATGGCATGGGACTGTATTTTGACAGCTCTTACTGCATCAAGGTACTCAGGGCAAGGGAACCTGTATAAAAACACCACTAGGGAATCAAAGACCTTTAAATTAAGAGACACGACCATGCCATAGCCAAATCCAGAATGAAAAATGTATTTAATTTAGTGAAGGAAGGAACCACTGCAATCTGCGTGCTCTACTGGCACAACAAGTGCTGGAGAAATAGAAATTCTGTAAAAATACAAAGGGGAATCAGCAACATAAGAATTTGGAACAAAAGAATTTCCTACTGCTGGGGCACTGAAAAGCTCATTCACAGGATGCCCAGGTCAGGCAGTGGCCTATGCAAAATCAGTGGTATTTATTTTCAAGCACATCATACAGGAGGCTATAAATATAAGTGGAAGATGCACTTGTCCTTGATCTCCATATAAATATAAGTATTCAGCTACCTTCAGCAGTTCTAAAATCACTACAGAAACAGCTATTTTTCCTTATTAAAAACCCTATCCCCTTAAGGCAAGTAGAACTAGAAAAGCTTTCAAGAAGAAAACAAACAAAAAAAGAAACAACTTGCTGATTTTAAAAACCAAACAAACCAACCCAATCTGGTTTTTTTCTTTTTTCTGTTGTCTAAGGCAGAGAATGAGGACAAGGGACCTTAAAACAACCTGGGTCAACCCAGAAGAAATGGGGAAGGAGGACACTGCACTTGAGAGAATGTCCACAATTTGACACTCAAATCAGACCGCTGCATTTCCCCAAACTATTTTTAGGATACATAAACTACAGCAAAGAGATTCATGGCCCAGCCAAACGTGAGATAATTATTTCTGCAGCAGAGCCTCTTTCCAATAGATACAAACCCTGTGAAACCAGGTGATGTGCAGACATTCAGAGAAGCCATCCTTGTCCCCAGATCAGAACATTTGACTTCAACCCATGAGCAACACCTGGATGCAACACCGAGAACAGGAGCACGAGAGTACAAAGCTGTGCACGTGGCCCTCTGTGATGACTCCTGTCATGACCACCATGAGCTGGTGGTCTCCACACTGCCATTTCTTACACATTTTTGTGGTCGAGGGACTCTGGATTTCTGTGTTTGCTGAGTGCTGCTGGCTGAGCAGCAAAACCCCAGGTGAACCAGACGAAGCAGCCCAGAATACAGAGCCCTCCATTTGGAAAAGGAGGCAAACCCTCTTCCAGCTCAGGGAAAACCACAGTCATTTTTCTCTTCCAAGTGAGATACCTGCTGTTTCTCTAGATATTAATGCCACCCTGAGCGTGGATTAACATCTGAGAGCTCTGTCTCAGTCTATCCCTCCATGGACCTCCCAGCTGAGCTGCAGCAGCTGCCACTTCAGCTGCAGTCACAGCTGCCCTTGCCAGCAGCATCTCCTGGAGTGTGGGATGGCTGCTCCCTCCTGCCCTGGCACAAATCCATGCTCTGCCAGCCACGGGCTCCCCATCCAGCCCTGCAGCTCTCCTCGTAGCCACCATCACCTCCAGTCCCTGGGATTTCCTCACTGGAGTATCTGAGCAGTGCTGCACCACACGGATTTGTGTGAATCCCTGTCCCTGTGTCCAGGAGGTTTCTCCTACAGAAATAAAGATGCTGCAATATATCACTTACATGCTCATTTTCATGTGTAAATGTATCCTGCACCAAACTACAACCAGCTGAAATTGCCACTCCTCTTAACTGATTTAAACTAAATTTTCTGAAGCAAGAGAAATTGCAGGGAATTAAGAGAGGGAAAAATTTTCGAGAAGAAACCATGGAAATTTCAAACTCTGGAGTCATTTATAAAAGCACAAAAACATGTCTGGAGAAGAAATACGGCACTTTCCTGGAATAAGAAGGATGCTGGAAAAAAAACACCTGCTCTTGTGGTTCCTATGCTGAGTATTTATCTTAATTTCTTGTTCCAAGTGTCAAAGCATTTCATTACAAAACAAACAAGAGATTCTAATCTAAAAAATGAGATGACTCAATTGCTAGAAAGCAGCTGTTCTAAATTATAATACAAAAATCTATTTTAAAGACAAGCCATGTCATCTAATACTTGTGCTTTGAGGAAAAAAAAAAAAAGAAAATAAACAATATTATTAATTTAAATGTTTAAAAACCTACAAAGAAAGCAAACAGGAAAATACTCAGAAATGTATTTGAGAATACAATTCTGACTGGAAATACTGAAAATATTTATTTGCATTCTGATGTAGAATAAATGCAAATACGAAGATGAGGAAATTTCTCACAGGACTGAAACTCTATGTTTTTTAACCACCCTCCTGTTATCTCCTGCACACCAGGCGCTGTCTGTCCTCTGCAAACAGGAATGCCTGTCCCATGTTTACAGATGGAATGGAGAGTTTACATATTGGCTCCAGGGGAACTTGATGATCCCAAGGAAAGGTTTTAGTGGCCAACACTACGATGGTTCCAAACACAGCAAAAACCAGCAGAGAAACACACATTAATAAAACCTAAATCTTCCTTGGACCCTCCTTCACTGAGTTAACGAAACACTTCCCGAACTGAAGCAATGAGAGAAGCAGATTTGGAGAAATCAGGAAGTCGGATGGTGAAGGAACTCAGAAGGATAAAGGACAGGCACATTCCCAGCAGCACAGGAGGGACAGAACACTGAGCCTGGGAGCCTCCCAGCCGGACAGGAATCCCACACTCAGGAGGTGCTCAGAGGGTTCAAATCCCTGGTCAGTTGTGCAAAATTTGGCTACGTGAGTCCAAATTCTTTGTCAAGTGCAAACCAAGTCAACAGTTCAAGAAGTTCAGGTCTACAGGAAACTATCAAGAAAGGCTTTATATGTTTAATTTCCAGGTGTTCAGTGATATATAATTGCTGTGATGGACCATGGGGAATAAAATAAGAACATGATCACTGTAAGAATTGGGATTATTAGTGAGTTCACTGTTGGTTCTTAATTATTATATCCTTTATACATCTATATAAATATGGGATACAGCATCCAACCTATGCCAGTGCCCCATTAACCAGAGGCATCCCCTCTTATTCCATCCTTCTTTCTGTTTTTTATCCATTTTAAACCTTGGAATATTAACTCCTGGAAGTCACTGAGCTATGTTAGCCACCACAGGGATGTAGATATAATATTGAGAGCATAGGCACAGCTCTCCTCTCCTTCACAGAGCTCAATTTAACACAATTTGGGAATGCTTTGCTAACTGTCATTGTCTGCAAAACTTCTCTTACAAGGACTTATAAAACTTTCCCAGTGAAGGGAGAGACCACAGAAGAGGAGTTGACTAAACTAGGAAGTGCAAGGTTATTTTCCACTGCAAACATTTCTTCAGAAGAAAGCACATAATTAAAAAAAAAAATACCAAAAATAATCCCCCCTTAACCCACTTGGATTTTCCAAAACCCCAGAGGATTTCTGGCAACCACACAAGTCTGGTGAATTTTACTCCTTCTGCGCACAGTGGAGGA